TATTTTTCAGTATAAACTCTCTTTTGTCTCATTCAACCAAAACTTTGCTCACCTAGCTCAGGGTATTTTTGGCTGCACAAGGATTCGTACCACCTATCGAGACAAAAAATGCAAAAGGTGGAAGGGGGGGGGGGGGAAGAAGTCATTTTTTCATTTTTGTTTTAAAAACGGGTCCTAGAACCCTAATTTCCATGAACATTCTCATAGCAATTGAGTGTATCGAGGAAATTCAGGCAGAGAACTTGCATATGGCAGTCCTCTTCCTGGACCTCGGGAGGGCCTACGATGGGGTAGGTTGGTCCTTTGTTCTAACCACATTAAGAAAGATAGGTTTCAACCAGTGCTTTTGCAGGTGGATTATTGCCATGTACATATGAGTCACCTCGTCCGTCCAAGTCAGTGCTTATGTGTCACCCCCCTTCTAATTGACAAATCATTAAGGCAGGGTTGCCCATTGGCTCCCTTGCTCTTTGTGCTCGAGGTCCCCCTCAACAAAATCCGTAAACATATGTGCCTTCAGGGCTTGAAGCGTTCTGCGGATAGGGACTGTAGAGTAAAACCCTTCTTGCTTCCTTATAAGCTTTCAAGTCAAGTTTATCTAAGTACTCGTAGTTGTTTGAGCTGCTAGTCAACTGGAGTAAGTCGGTCTACCTGCTTCCTGAGGATTTTGCGCTATAAGTGGAGTGGAGAATGCAGCAGGTCAACTCGGGTGTAGGGTTCTTGGGCGTTTTAGTGAGCACATAGGCCATGGGGACTACACAAGCTCCCATCTTGCAACATAAGATTGTTGCAGGCCTCAGGGTGTAGGGTTCGGTCTCTCTTCGAAAGAGCCTTAGTGATTGATGTGACCATTTTCTCTTTGATTTGGTTCGTATGATCGGTGAGAGAGATTGTTGTAGTTGGTTTGACAAAAATTAGAAGGTTGGCATCAAAGTTCTTATAAAAGTCGAAGACGGCAGTAGAGGAAGGATTCCTAATGAAGGTTGTCTGAGAGTTATTCACTTTCCGCAGAGACCAAAGTAGTCTGGTTTTGGTTGATCCCCAACGTTAGAATCAGGCGCAATGTAGAAGTCATTGTTCAAGTTGGTCATGGCACAAGAGAGAGAGGATTGAATTATCCTTGCAAATAAAATTTTCATGTAAGACTGATAACTCTCTAAACCTGAGGATGTTTGACATTGTTTTTCTATGGATTCCTTTATGACGATATCGAGCGCATCGGTCCAGCACCGCACGGGGCAGCGCGGGACCCTCCCGGCCGCGTCACGCAGGAGTTGGTCTAGATCCTCATCGCAAATATACATGTGGAGCTTCCGCAAGCCACTCCGACCGAGTGGGCCAGCCATACCTCTCGCGAGCCCCTACGACAGGATAGGGCCTACGCGAGGCATGACTTACCTACACCTTACGGGAGTTGTCACCTCCCTTCGGTGGGCGTATACCCACCGAGCTACTACTCCACAATACGAGAGTTAATCAGTTGCAGTCGCAGAGGTGGATCAGCCGAGGGCGTTTTTCGTTCGCTGTAGCATAGGGGGTACGCGCGGTAATTTTGCCTCTATCGAACCCGCACGCGAACCGACTTCATGGGGGGTTGAAGTCCCAAGCGCAGCTCGTTGTCGGTCGGCTAGGACGCATCCCACTCATCACCCGCACACCACTTTACGAAAAAAAAATAAAATTAAAATACACACACACACACATATACGAAACGACACAACACAACAACGCGACAACACTCCTAGTCTCTTCAGTAGCCGTCCCATAACTTTTTGATTGCGGCCATTGGATAGGCGTCGTGCGTGAGACTTAGTATAAAACCGCGCGGACGCAGGGCCTACTCATATCGACTCGCAATGCAAGCGTAAGCAAGCAGTCGCAATGATGGCGTACTGTGTAGTGCCCATAGTCAAGCGGTCCCTCGTGGATCCGAATAACGCTTATAACACTCAAGTGTCAGACTCGAAGTGTCGTGAGGGTCTAACCCTTCACGACATTGCACGGCTGAAGGAATAGCCGTGCAGCCGCCGCGAGACCCCAAACGTTTGGTCTGAGCGTCTCGGTAGGCAAGGCAAATAGGCTCTGCGCGAGGGAAAACCCCTCCCCTGCAGAGCCTAGGGCTTGGGATGTCTTGGACAAGGACCTTGAATCCCGGGCCAGGACCAACGTCCGACTAAGAAAATTCTCAAGAAGCAAAACAAAATAAATGGAGGGGTCCTCCTTGGTCCTCTCAGTCTTAACCTCTGAGTATGCTCTTTGTACGGGGCCCCTTAACCCATGCAGACCTTCATCCCATGTATACCCATATATATATATATATATATATATATATATAAAGGGGGAAGTATTTGACGATCACTTCTCACAATCTCATTGGGGTCCCTCACAGCCATACGTATATATGTGATCGCGGACAACCAAATCCAGAAATCCGATTCTTAGCACATACCTGCAAATCACATCAACGAGTCAACAGACATCCCACGCACTACGCTGAGTC